CATCACTCCTGACAGCACTGTAGACGTAATGTTGCCTGAATGTCAGGCTGCCCCCGTTCCTTGCTCTACTCCAGTCAATCTACACAATTTCAAAACAGTTGTTACTACAGTTCTGTATATTCCTCATACTGTTTCCTTTTCACTCCCACCAGTGGCCTGCAAACCTTGGCTCTACAAATATACTGGCACAGGTGATGAACCCCGGTATATAGATTGCCAGCCTTGTTGCAAACTTGCATCAGAATGGATCTGTCATCACTGTTTGGGAGGAAGATGTTATGTTCCAAGTACTGTACACATCCATGTCCTGATCATCTGAAACTAGCCAAATTCTGACTGTCATTTTGTTTTGAACTTTCCTTTCTTGCGCAATAAGCCTAATGGGGCATCAGGTTTGTAGTTACAATCAGTTTTGTTCATTTGATATGATTTTCCACATATTTAAAGACTCTTTACACTGCCCTTATCTTAATTAAGACCATACCTAAGAAGGCTTTCTTTCTGTTATCTCTAATGAGCAAAACTCAAGAGACATTATAAAAAACTGACTAATAAAACAAACAAACTGCATTTCTATTTTCAATGAGTTACAGTGCTTTACAAGCAAAACCAAAGAGCAATAAGGCATAAAAGAGGTAGAGACCAGGTTTGGGCATGGCTTAGAGAGGGGTGGCACATTTGAAATACATATAAAAAGTAAATATACACTTAGTTCTATAAAATAACAAACCATACATGATTAAAGATCCAATAGTTTATTTTGTGTAAAAATGAGACATGTTGCTGTTTTGGCTAAGTTTGGCTGCACTCCTTATTTACTCCCGGCCTGGGACATTACTGTTGCACCCATGATTTAAAAACCCTGCTTCAACTAGTCCATTGATACTGAGAACCTGACCAACAGTCAGCACAGCCCCCAAACAGTTAAGTTAAACCTGCCTATGTGGTACTAATAACACCGATTATCCACTGTGAGTGTGCCTCATTTTGTTTACAAGATCCTGCTGCTGCAATAACATTTAATTTTATTTTAAAAGGACTACTGACTGCAGCTTTATCTTTTGTTTTGCAACTGTACAAACAGTTCAGTCAGTTCAGTGTCAGTAACTATTCATACCCTTTTTTTGCACATGCTGTGGTCGTGGCTGGCTGCTTTTATTCTAATGAAGAAGGAGCACTTTAAGTTAAAAGGAAAATGATACAAAAAAACCTTTTTTAGATTTTATTATTATTATTATTGTGACCTGGTGAGTGTTTAGTATCATTACATCTCTAGTGAATAAGCACCTGTTCAGCATATTCACTTGATGGTGCATGTCCATGTTGTCCTTACAGCTTCTTTCTGCTGCTCCCAAGTGGTCAGAAAATGAGATATTACAGGTTTTGAGATGTGCACTGATTTGGCCTGTCTGTGGGAGACGTGAACACCTTTCAGCAGTGATCAGCCTTGGCCTAGCATAAGTATTTGTTAATCCTTGCAATTTTGTAGTGTCCCAAAGATAGAGAAAAACCTGTCCCTAAAACACAGTGCACTCATTCAGTAGTTGACTGAATTATCAGAAGTCTCTGACCAAAAGACCAGAGGGGCTGCAGCAGTAATGGCCTGTTTGCTAAAACTAGTGTAGGCAGACGCTTCACAACAGGAGGAGCACAACTGAGGCTGTGGTTGTGTGAGATTGCTCCTTTGCTATTGTCAAGGTGTTACCGAGTACAGTAACTTGCTACTGCTGATGTATGTGTTTACTATTGTCACAGGTAACTGTGTGATCCATCATCCACATTCTGTTTTATGGCTGGCCTTTTGTGGGAGGGAGGCCTTTTGTTTGGACCCTAGTGTCCACAGTCACTTCGTGCAAAATTAAATGCATTTGTGCTTTTGTCTTCACACATGTCTGTGCTTTATCAGTACCCCAGTATCTTTAGTAAACAAAGTGCATTCTCTCTTTCAGCTTGTTGAGTTGTGCATTAGTGTGTCTAAATGGATTCAGTCAATAGCTTTGGGATCCATGGCTTATTTTGTGTACTGCTTCTCACTGTGTGTGTGTGTGTGTGTGTGTGTGTGTCAGCTACCCGAATACCTGCATTTTTGTGGCATATCTGCTTGAGACTGTGTGTTTACTGTGCATGTACAATCCATTACAATCTGTGAGTGTCTGTATCTGACAGTCTGTGCATGCATGTGTGTGTAAGAGTGTGTGCGTATGAGGAACAGTATTCCCAGGGCTGCTAGTTATAATGTTTCTGGGGGTGATGGGGGGAACTTGAAAGCCCTGCGCTGCCCAAATCAAAACTAACAAGGAAATGATGGGGGCTCCTTTATCTCCTCTCTGGCCTGGGGGGCTGAGAGGGGCGAGAACAAGAGGCTGGAGAGGGAGGGAAAGAAGAGGAGGAGGGTGGAATATATGGGAGCGGAGGAGGAGGGGATGGGGGGCAGCCTGGCTTCCTCTTTGATTTGTAAAAAATGCATTACCTCCGAAATCAAACGGAAAATTACTGTGTCGAAGCAAAACACACAGCGTAGGAGAGAAGGAGAGAAAAGGACACGGGAGGGGGAGAAGACAGTGGATAGGTGTGTGTGAATAGAAAGGAGGTGGGAAAGAGGAAAGAAGGATTCACCTGTATAGAGATGTGGTTAAATAGGAAAAGGGAGGATGGCTGTAGATTTGAGGTGGTGCGTGGGTGGTGTGAGAGGGAGCTGGAGAGACCCTGACAGACAGGAGAACACATATATATTATCCTCTTAGGAGATGAGCTTATACATGCTGTCGACCACGAGAAGATGGCAAATGAAAGAGATGATGCAGTATTGATGACCGGCAGCCCACAGGGAAGAAGAAACTTACAGATTGCGACAACAAACACAAAGAATATATTATTTGTTTAAGAATCATATCAATATCTGTAGAGGCCTTTCGTCAGATGAACAGGTTATCAGCATTTTAGTGGAAAGACGCATATTTTGAAATAGAGCTGTATCTAAAGGCCGTTTTGATCCAATTTGATATTCCACCAGTACACCACATACAAGTGAGTATGTATAGTTTTGTGAAAGAGTAGCTTTGTGTAAAGATGCGTTATAGCTGTTATTTGAAACCTTGTGATAACTTTGACTCATTCTGGAAAAGGGAGTACAGGCGGAGAGGAGACAGAAGAGAGAGAAAGATGAAAAATAGGGAAGAAATCCATGAGTGAGACAGGATGAATGCTAACTCTATATCTGAAGACAGAAGGTTTGAAAACAAGAAAGATGAAGAGAAGGAGGAGAGAGCAAGAGGGGCCACAATCCGAAGGCTAGAAGCAGGGTGAGCGAGCAAGAGAAGGCTAGAAAGAGAGAGTCAGCTGGAGAGAGACAGAGAAATGCCTGAAGTTAGCAATAATAATTTATACAAACACACCTTAATAATTCACATTCAATTTCAATGCTGGAGGGAAAATCCAAAATTCACAGAGCATAATTAAATAGAGACAGAGTGAAGGGAGAGAGAGAAATGCCTGCATTAAAGATACCAGTGTAGCAGCAGGGCAGCTCTTCCATCGAAGCTTTGTCAAACAACCCCGATGAAACTGTGATATTCAAACTACAGAAGATCCCATCTCATAGTCCCTTCGCTCATCATGGAAACGCTAAAATCCCCTCACCTACTCCTGTCAGCTGTTGTCTGTGCGCGTTTGTTTAGGCAACATTATCAGTAGTAGCTTCAATTTAATAAAGAAAAAAGCCCTTCCCTCACACACAGATACACACATGATTGTTTATGGTGCATTCAGAGCAGATCAGATTACGATCTGTTAGCATGCAAAAGGAGCATGAGGTAATGCAATTGCACTGTAAATCAACAAATATAAGGTTTCTTGCACACCTGTGGTGCTTTTATTCATGGTACCCAGTTGTGTCTGTAAAAACAAATGGTGCAAAATGGCGGTTGAGATACAGTAAAAAACAACAAAAAAATCTGAAATTAGAATCAGTCAATACCCAAAAAGTTAATCACTGTTGTCTAAATTTGTAAAATCAAACATGTTTACTGAATGTCAGCATTTTGTTTACTTTTTATATATAGAACCTGAAGCTGATTTCTGTTTTTTTCTAATAATAATAATAAAAAAACAACTACTAGAAGGTTCTGTACATTCTGAGGTACTCCTCTACATTTCAGAGGGACATATTGTATTTTTTTTTTTACTCCACTATATTGTTGCTTTTGTATATTTTAAGGTTAGAATTTGTTGTTGTTTATTTACAGCATGTTTTTCACATATACAAGTTAGCAGCAAACGTGGCCTGGTAAGACACTAAATATACTTCTTCACTGGTGAAACGTTTGTCAGTACATGGGCAAATAAAGACTGTTGTCTTCACTGACACAAAAAGAACCACAATTCAAGTTATATAATTATGGAAGCAGAAAAGACCAGCAGATATTAAAAACATATCGTTACATTGTGATATAACGAGTGAAAAATAAAAACTAAAATAGACATCAATTTCAGTCTTACATATATCAATAACAAGCAAAGCCTTTCCTCTTCTGGGAGACCATTAAACCCTAACCCTTGGTGGATCAAAATGCTGAGATTTTTTACTAAATGTGTAGATTTTCACTCCACTCGGGAATAGCTGAGCTGTGTTATATATTAAAAAACCAAATTTTTAATGGATAATACAGCTAAACTTTGGCTTGGTTTTCAAAAGTCTATTTAATTCTTACTGTTGTTGTTGTACCTGTGACACAGCCTCAGGTGGCTGCATAAGATCACATCCAAACACCTGATGTCTACAAACACAAATGAAACATATTCCTGACATACAGTGTTTCACATTGATTTAAGGTATGGTTTTGAACTGGTACTTACACCCTTAAACCCTTACACAATACCTCCATGTATGTTTATGTTGTTCAAATTCAGCTTTAACTCACTGACATAAACCTGCTGTTGACTTTGGCTAATCCTGGTTCACTGACTTCCTTTACCATCTGTGCCATTCATTTTTGTTCCAGGTGTTGTGGAGGTATGGACTGTAACTGCGTCAGTGATCTGTTGCTCCCCCCGGTGCCTGCTCTCTGGACGCCAGGTCAGTACCACCGTCATGCTCAGCTGAAAACGAAATGCTACTCATTTGTTGTGAAAAATCTGCTTGAAGTGTTTATTTGGACAACTAGCAGTGCATGTGCAGAAATCTTTAAACATGTATTCAGGTCATGTGTGTACATTGGGTGAAACCCCAAGCAACTAAAACAAGCAAAGTCAGCTCTGATAAAACTTCAGCAACATCACAGTCATGATAAAAATATTCAGTTATTTAAAAGGGTTATCCACACACGCATATTGAAAAACAGCTTGAGCGTCTGGTGGTAATTGGTTGTGTATCTAATGTTTTTACAAGGATAGTTAGGGTCAGATTCACTTTGGGATGAGTCAAAAAGCTACTTCACTAAACAAGTGATGTGCATAGAGTCTTTAGAGTTCAGACCCAAGCTGCATCAATCAGATCTCTCCCAGCGAGCTGTCATCATCCCGCTGACCAATCTGTTGAGGCTGGAGGGCATTAGTGCAGACTAACATTGCTCAAGGCACGTGCTGTGATATTAAGCACACCATCCCTCACCTCCATCACTCATCGGTCATTCAGACAGTGATACACCCCCCACCCCATCCTCGACCAGTGAGTGGCAGGACAAACGACAGGCCTCATCTTCCTATCCTTTCCAGGGTTCGCCTTCCCAGACTGGGCCTACAAGCCTGAGTCAAGTCCCGGATCCAGACAAATCCAGTTGTGGCACTTCATCCTGGAGCTGCTGCAAAAGGAAGAGTATCAAGGGGTCATTGCCTGGCAGGGGGACTATGGAGAGTTTGTCATCAAGGATCCAGATGAGGTCGCTAGGCTGTGGGGGATAAGGAAATGCAAACCTCACATGAACTACGACAAGCTGAGCAGGGCGCTGAGGTATGACAGGAGAAGTATATTAGACTTGTGTGTTCGGACATGACGTGTTGAATGTCAAGCAATAACACTGTTGGTATCAGGTAAATCAAGATGTTTATCACACAGTGGTTTACTCTCAACTCCTAAGAAACATCTCTCTTTTCCATGTTGGTAAAAATGGAAAAATAAAGGTAGGACGTTTTCTAGGGAACGTCAATACTGTTTCTCCTTATCTGTGGACATCCCAATGGAAAGTTCACCATTGAGCTGCCAATTACAAAATTCAATAGAGATTTCAAAATTAAGCCCCAGTGTGAAATTGCTTGGGCTTCTCCTTCAGAACAGGGAAACTGCTTGACACCAAACTTACCGAAGGTGATTGTAACAATACTGTTCACCCTTCATACTTCCAGCAGTTCACACCTCCACCACACACATAGTTTTCTCATGCAAATACACACTACCCCAACTTGTTCCCCTACCCTATCCCCCTCCCTCTGCTTTCCTTCAGCCTCTTGTTAATGGGGGCTGTCGTCAGAGTCTAATTGTTATGAATTGGCTTGGGCCACAATTAGCCTTCTTAATTAGCCTCACTTAATTGCTCAATTAAGGGCCATGGCACGATTGCCACGCAAAGCAAAACACATACACATCATTGCACTGGGTGCAGCTACTGTGGATACATGCTGATATGTAAATGCTGGTGTGTTTATTGAAATAGTGTGTCTGCATAATGAGGCACCACTTACCAGTATTTAATGCTGAGGTTGTACAATGCATTTTGTATTTGGTGCACTGACCATGGACACTTTAAAACAAAGAAATATAAGTGCTCTAAGACACTGTGCTTGAGACCTAAACTATCTCACAATAACATATCTGCAAGTTTTTCCAATTTGCAGTATCCCACTCCCCCCAGCTCCCACCTGAGCATCAGCCCTTTTACCTGAGCCAGATGGCTCCTTGTTTTGCCTTGACTGCTGATCAGCCTGACATCCTGGCAGACTGTACACTGAGACACCTCAGTGGGTGGCACAGGAAGCTGACATGATGGCAGCTCGACATGCCCAACGGGAGACACCTGAGGTTGTCACCGTGGAGAGTTCTCTTGTTGTCCCACCTCTTTGTCAATGTGCTTCATTGCTGGAAACGGTGGCAGCTTCTCAGTCATCGACATTAACATGACAGTTTTAGAGACCAAGCTGCTTCTGATGATTCAAATTAAATACCAGCTCAAAGGCAATTCTTTTATCATACTTAGTAAATTATTTTCACTTGAACAGTGACAAATCTGAGTTTTTCTGGATAACGCCAATTTGTTTACTTAGTAGAAATACTCATGGGCTCTCCTTTTAAGACATCAGTGTTTTTCAGGATCGTGATATTCTCTTTTGATTTTTTTTTTTTGATGCCATGATCCATATCATGTCATGTCATAAAATAATGTCCATATTCTTTTTAAAATTGATGCTAGTCTGGTGCAAAGAGCTTTTCTTTTGCTGTGTTATTGTTTTTTGTTCTTTAGTGTAATGTTCTTTTCATGTTTTGGGCCCTGATGCTCAAAGGGATTCGGCTTTTTGACTTTCTTCTGTTAACAGCTGAAAACAATTTCCCTTTAAGAACCACATTCTCCAGAATCCAGGTAGTCAGACATGAATTGATTTGAGGAAGGAGGAGATGAATAAAAACAGTGGGAAATCAGCATAGCTCTCGCCCCACAGCGCTGAAGTTGTTTACTTATTCTTCTCTGCTTGTGATGAAACATAAAACCTTGATGTGAGCATTATATTAATCCTTCCCTCCACTTTTCCTTTTCCTCTTCCTTTTTCCTTTATCCTTTATTCCCTCCTTGTATATCCTCTCCTCCTCCTTCGCAGGTATTACTACAACAAGCGCATTTTGCACAAAACCAAAGGGAAGCGTTTCACCTACAAGTTTAACTTCAGTAAGGTGGTGTTAGTGAACTACCCCATCCTGGACATGGCCAACTCTCCCTTCTTTCTGGCCCAGAATCACTTCAACGGTAGCTCCACCACACCAGACTGCAGCCCTGAGGTATGAAGGGTAGGATGGAAGGAGTGGGAGAGGCTGGGAATGGTGAAGAGCTATATGTTGATATAGTTTGTAGGATAAAAATGGAGATAATGCAGTGTTAATCATGTAGAAAACCTATCCATCCATTACCTATACCGCTTATCTTGATTCTACAGTGTGTCTCTATATAGGTAATATATAAAATAGAAGAGAAATCTAGAAAAAAAAATAAGGAAAAACAGAAAAACACACTGCTCTTTATTTTTTTTTGTATAGTAACAGGTACCCATCCACTGATTTTGCTGATTTCTCAGCCCCCCTCCCCTCCCCCACATTTCCTTTTATAAAACTCAAGAGGCGGTATTTTTTATATCTGTCTTTTATTCACTGTCTCTAGTGATGATTGTATAAGAATACAATTCATTTATTATTTGCACTGGGGAGTGTAACATTTTTAACTATATCAGAACAAAAAGAGTAAAGCATGAACCAAAATGTTTTAATTTAGAAAAAAATATGATTTTACACATCAATTTAAACTAACAGAGAAAATAAAACAGTAAACAAATCAATTTACCTCTTTTAAATTCTACACTAATTATGGACATGGCCACACACAAATTGTTGCAGAAGACTTTATGATTTTTATTAGGAACTAAATGTTAGTGTGCAGATAATTTCATTTTAAACAACTAATGTCCTAGAAAGTGCATGGAACTTGAAAGTACAGTAAGAGAAAATCATCCAACATTTGTCTGTGCCATCCTTAAGATGGGATAACGAGACAGACTCTGAAGGAGACGGAGGAGGAGGACGGTTTTAACTTGTCCTTAAAACAAAAGAAGACATTATCCCCTCCTTCTCTCATCCCCGTCTCCGATGCCGTATCCATCTGTCATTGATTGAAAATGAAAGAAATAGAAAGCAAAGGGGTGTCATTAGATAAGATCAATGGTGGGTCATTAATGCGGTTTGTTAAGCAACACAGATCCCGCAGCTTGGGAGTACAGTCTCGCCTTTCAAACTTGGGGCTGCGGGGTGACATACTATTGATTCACAGTCCTGCTAGGGGTAAAAAAAAAATCCCCCTTTGTCCCCTTTTTTCCTGAGATTCAACTTTTCCTTTTTATTTTTTTACCTTGTCTCTTTCTCCTTCAAGTATTTGACACACACAGCTGCCCTTTGTCCTGAATGGATGCCATTCTTTTAGATCACAGTCCTATTTGTCCTGTATCCCCTCACACAACCTGACCCACAATCCCTCTCTCTTCTTGTCATCTATCCTTGGTGCTGAAAATCTTAAACGCTGGTCCCCACTTGACTCTATATTCTTCCTGTCTTTGAGCTTCTGATCCTCTGTGTCCTCCAACCTCCCATTTTACCTCAAATCCCATGTCACCTCTTTATCCTGTCCTTGCTGCGACAGTGTCACTGTTTGCATCACACTCTGCAGGGCGATGCTATCAACATATAATTTCACCTCACACAGGGGCAGATTTGTAGGAAAATGTATGTTTCATTTAGGAAGTTTTTTCCATGACAAACTACTTTTTTAATTGCTTTTCCCATTTAAAAAAAAATCTTCTTCTTTGCTGTTCAGGCCATACAGTCCTTGTTTCCTCGTTTGCCGGACTCCAGCAGAGGAACCTCCCTGTTTGATCGAGGGACCACAGCACCAGGGCCTGAAGGAGACAAGATGAGACTGGACACATTCCCTTTCCTCAGTTCGGGTGAGCTTATAGCAGGGGACAGATAGTCAAAAAGTGCAAAAAAAATGGGAATTTTTTTAATATTCCAGAGACAAAAGAGAAAAAAAAGAGCTTCTACAAAATGTGTATGAGGTGTATAGGCAGTCTATACAAAGGCAGGAGGAGAATGTGGAGGAAATGAAGATGAGCAAGGAGAGGAATGAGGATATTGGGAGGTATGAACATTTATTGTAAAAGGAAATAAGAGAGAGACAGCTGTCCCGTCACAGCTCGTAGTGGGGCTGCACCTCAGGTGAGAAAGACCAAGTTAGCTTGTGAATTATGCATATCAGTGGTGGTAAGAAACAAGTTGAAGCCTGGAGAAGTCATCTACATTTTCAGCATGATTGTTTGCATTCAGCCTCTTCTTTCTCCACATGTGAGCATCGATGAACACAACCTGTGACTGTATACATGTGTTATTGCAACTCTTTGTTTGTTTTCCTGCATCCTGTACGTGCATCAGAATGTGTATGAATGTGCAGAGCTAGAGCAGCAGTGCGCAAACACATGTACACACAACCTCCCCTCCCTCCTCATTCTGTTTGTCCTCAGGTCCTATCCCCCCCTTCTTCCCTTCTCACCCTCCTCTCCCTCCCATGTGTCCCTGCTGTCCTAATCCCTTCCCAGGCAGGAAGGCCCTAATTGAGGGTGCAGGCTTCAGTTTATGGCCTGTGGGCGCCCATTACTGTGTTTTCATAAGCAAGTGAGGCCTGCCTGACTGATTCAATATTCATGTGTCTGCCAGCTACTCCTGGCCCAGCACACAGAGACTTCACCAGTGTCAAATTAGCCCTGCATAGTAAATAACAGAGTGGAAGAGAGAGAAAGAGGAAGAGTTGGGGAGGTGGAGGGTGCAGCAGAGAAAGAATCTTTGAGTTGGTTGTCAGTTGGAAGGAAGTACAATCAGTTGAGAGGCAGTGTTTTTGTTTGTTCATTAAAACTGAATTCCAGCATCACCTGAAATTCACCTCCTTTTACTGTTATCAAATGAAGCTTATACAGAACTGAATTCAAATACAGTAAATGTTTAATTTGCTACACCTTAAGGATTTCTGCTTAATCAAAACTAATATAATGACATGTCAAAACACTGGATTGACAGGAGATCAACAGTTTGCAAGTTTCCTTTCTGTCAGTCTCTTAACCCCTCCTCGTGCATGGACTCGTCTGCTGTTGCATTATTTCTCCAACAAATTTTTCACCAAGGCAACTGTCACCTCTGTGATGATGTGCAGACAAACTGTGGCAGTGCCTCCAAATTGTCCTTTTTAATATAAAGAAATAATACATTATTTAAAAGATGTGCAGGAAATTCTGCATCATTACATTTTTTTTTTTATCGTTTTATCTTTTTTAGGTGTTTTTTTAGTTTTCATTGCAATGCATAATAATTGTGCTAACAACTGGTTGGCAGCAGTATAAACTGGAGATACTACACAGTACTGGCATGCACAAATGAACTTCTATGTTTTTGTTGAAAGCAGCTGTGCCAGAATTGGGCCCTGTGGCTTCTGATTAGAATTGTTAATGCTGCTGAGCATAATTAATGAACATTCTTGGATGTTGTATGTCAAGAAACCTTTGAGCCTACTGACTGCTAACCTCCATCTCTGGATATTCTCTGTCCTAGGTGCCCCGTGCTACTCAAAACCTCCGTCCCTGCTGGGACCATATCCTCGCACCCCACCCTTTGACTACCCCTGGGGTTTCAACCCTTATCTGCCAGGGGCCTTCTCTCTCAATAACTGCCCCAAACTGCCCCCTGGTTCCCTCTACCCCTCCCAGTTTTACCCCAACCCTTTGCAGAGCAGCCTTTCCCAGCTGCCTCACCCCTTCTCCTCTCTGCTCCCCCCAGGGGAGGCAGGTGGGGGTGAGAGGGGAACGGCAGGGCAAACTGGAGGCACAAACAGCACACCGGGTGGCCAGCCAGCCAGGCTCTGCCTACCACCCTACCCGGGGAGCCTGTCGATGGGCCGGACGGACATTGGCAACGGGGCAACGCTGGGGGAAAGGGAAAGGGTGGAGGCCAATCCCCCAGTCACAGGGCTGAGTCTGGGGCTGGGGGCCGGGACAGGCCAGCAAAGCCCCACAGAGAGGAGAAGGGGGGTGAAGCAGGACCCAGAGTCTGACTCAGACCTGGAGATCACAGATCTGAGCGACTGCAGTTCGGAGAATGAAAACGAGCATGAATTCAGCATCGGGAAGGAAACCCGCCTGGCGAACCGATCACAGATTGTGCTGGATGGAAAGAAAGGAGGCATGCTGCCACCCATCTCCTCTCTCCCCCCACCCGTGTCCCCCCATCCTCTGAAGAGCCTGATGCCCATCACTCCTCCTCCCCCTTCCCTGCCTCCATCACTTTCCCCTTCCATGTCTCTGCATGAAAGACACAGGGAGACAGAGACTCTCAAAATGATACACAGCTAATACATTTTCTCCTGCGCCCACCATCTTGCCAGTTCATGCTCTGATAGCCCTCTTCTTCTCTCCTTTCTCGTCTCTGAGACACTCCTCTGATTTCAATTACCAACTGTCCGATCACTCTTGATAAGTTTCTTTTTCCAGGAATGGCAGTTATGTTATTCACTTCTACTGCTGTATCCCTCTGAACATATGGGGCGTACAATTTCTAAGGTATCGTCTCTTTGTATCTTGTCCTTTCTGTTCTGATCTCTCACACCAGATGATCGTTCCATGGTTTCTAGATTTGTTTTACACATTCATAGCAATACTCTACAATTTGCCATCCACAGGCAAGCAATGATAAAAGCCAGTGAGGTGGTAAAGGGCACAGTAGTACCTGCCTTGACAAACATTAACAAACAACATCCCTATGCTAACAGAACAGAACAACAAATAATGCTTAGACTGATCCAATTTTACACTTTTGTCCTGTAACTCTTGAGATTTGGACAACATATGGTCACTGTGACTTTTGAGACACAGTCAAATACTGCCCCCTAGAGGACATGCCTTTTAATGAAAGCTCCATAAGCCTTTGCTTGAAATTGATGCCCTTAATTACATTTTGCACTTTAAAAAAAAAAAAAAATTGTTTCTTGTGGATTAATTTACAATTTAAAATCCACATTACAAATGCTGTTAACTGTGATAGTTTGTAAATATTTATTTTGTCTGGTGGTTCAAGTATTACCTGCACATTTTCTGGAAGGAAAGAAAAAGAGAACAGAGAGAGCTGGTCTAATCTAGAAATTTGTATGAATATTTCTGTGTATATATTTTAATATGGTGTACATTATGTTTAATTATTATTCACTATAACAAAATTTAGCTGTATTGTTGTGATTTAATTCTGTATTTAAACATGTTGGAAAATCATAAGCTTAGGTGTATGAAAGTTTAAATTATTAATGGCAGGAGATCTGCACTCTGAAGATGTTTTTCTATGATCAGGACAGAGTTCACACTGGGAATTGTCTCTGGTTTTCTTAACCCCAGTTAATTGTGCCCTTTGGTCATTTTTGGCAGATGCCTAGTGTACAAACCCTTTGGGTTCAAAAATATGCTGGTTATTTTTATAGTTAACATTCACCCAGTGTACTGTAATTAGTCAAATGTGAATAATATTGGTTGTCTTTTTTCAGTCTTCCCCCACCAAAATCTGGTTTGATTATTTTTCAATCAATGCTTTTTGTCCATGCCAGCAGCAGCAGCAGTGGCACAATTGGGTTTGCTTAAGGACATTAAACAGCGGGGTTGAAAAAACTATTCAAAAATGGTTTACCTTTGTTCTAATGACCAGCATCCTTTCTCTGGCCTAGTGTCTCGGCACAGAGTGAACATTAAACCATATTGTATAGCTTCATAGCGTTTATAGCCTATGGTTTGTCAAAGAGTTGCAGTATAATGATTAGTTGTGAAAGCTCTGTTGTAAAGTTAATATAAAGCTCTATGTTTGTTGAGTTGCTACAGGAAAGGCCTCCAGTCACCTCCACATGGAGTACCCTAACTATCAGCTGTAAATACTGTTTCCTTTGTGTGTGTATGTGTGTGTACACATTCAAAAATGACAATTCAGTGGTTTTATCTGTCATCGCGCTTTGTTTTTCTGTAAAAAAGAAAAATGCAAAGTGCAAAAAAAGAAGAAAAAGATTAATATCTTCCAAAGCAATAAACATTATTCTGGATAGTGGACGGCTGTTGATTGTGAGTTCGTTGACCTGATTCACTGTGTCACAGTGAGCAGCGAAAGGTAAGGTGAGGCCTTCTGACAGATTTTTTTTACAATAAAGTTAAAATTCATTGCAGGTTTTCTTTAGAGTGAAGCCAGTGAATAAACACTGATAAAACAACAACACATTCTTTTGGATATTTAAATATTTTAAATGAATCTATGTTGTTTTATATCTTCTGTACTTAGTCAATTAATTCAGATATGACTGCTGATATCGGCCAGACTTGAAATTTATCATTCCTACTTAGTTTTTACCTTAAAAAAAAAAACTATTATTACTAAGAAAGACTTGCATTGCACTGATACATAATGATGTCTTTGTTGTGGATGCCTGCACAGCAGTGAGTCATAAAATAACTTGCACTTGCCTCAGGCAGAGCCACATTGTGAAGAAATGAAGAATTAAAACTGAGAAGTTTGATTTGATCGTAGTAAATTGATCGAAGCTTTTGCTAAAACAGTCCACTCCCACAGGAACTGTTTAAAGCTGAATAACCAAAGCACAAAATTAAGTCTCAAACACAATGTCACAGAAATACATCTTATACAAGTGAATCTAGTTTATCCATAAATTATGTTATTGACAATGAACAGATGTCAGCCCTCTTTGTCCCTAATTTGGTGTGTTCTTATCGTTTCCCAGTTTTAGTATCATTCCCACTCCTCTCCCCAGATGAGATTAGCAGTTTGCTGCATTCTCCTCTTTACCCTCACTTTTGTCATCTGCAGCCCTTCCATTACCAATCTGACAATTACCACAAAAGCGATTTGAGTTTGTATCTAAGCTGTGAGATACACGTACAAAAAAACATCTACAACATCTACAAATGGACTTTATTATTCCCAAGAGTGGGACTGTGTGAAGGCTGTAATGCAAAATCCAAAAAACCCAAGGCCAAACCAAACAAACCTTATTTTATGCCAACACAGACAAGAACTCTCAGAGTTCAACAGCAGTTTGACAATATACTGTACAATAGTTGTGAGGAGGATCATGTAATTTGATTGAAAGCTCCAGAACAGCTATTAAAAAAGTGAAAGTGGGGTGAAAAATAATTTGTTTCCAAAAGCAAGGACAAAATATAAATGTCTTTATTTTGTTTATTCAGCCAGTCACAGGCCATTACTGGCTTAAGGTTTTATATAACAGGCTCTGAGTGCGTTTATTGGGTCATATAAGACAGAAAAGGCCACAGGTCAGTAAAATCTATAGACTGAGTCGTATGCTGGAATGACCCACGTCGTGTCTATGGTTGTCCACAAGATGGCGCAGTGACGCTAAAATAGAAGTGAATGACCAAGCACAAAAGTTTGATTTGGCAATGTACTCTGCAATTGACCGCCTTTATTTCCCGACAGGCAGATGTTCTTTATATTGCTTAAACAGCTGATTCTCTTTCGACTGGCCACAGAACAGTGTGTGAAATTAATTTATGGGCAGAATTATCGGCTAGATAGCAGCGGATCAGCTGTAAAAAAAAACTAAATCATAGAATAGTTTGTTCTCGATTCAGTAGAATCTACGGTCGTTTATGAGCCAAAGATGAACTAGTTTAATAAGAAACTTTTTCTGTTTACTACTGATAGCATCTGTGATCACGACAGATGGGTTTGAAGTGTTTAAAATATGAGGAAGCTATTTTTATTTTTTTAAAAATAAGCATAGTACAATGCCTTCCCAGTTCATACCGCGTGATTAAAGCTGATATGAAACCCCAGCAGGCACTCAGTGATGGCTTTTTACTATTTTGAGCATTTATTAGTTACTCATATTTGACCTGCCTGGAACCAATCCTAGAGCATTTGTTAAACCGCTATTAGCCAGCTGTCAACGAAAAACCGACAGTAATGGTTCACTGGGCCATGTGCATGGCCATTTTCTAACAACCTATGGTTGTGCATGTAGCGGGAATGATGTTGGTGTGAAAATAATACTGGTTTGAAATATCTTAGATATTTAGATATTAGAACACATATCATACCGTATGTGTTCATGCTGTAAGATGTTTTTCTAACATGTGCAGACTGTGCACATACTGAGAGGACGCCCTTATTTTTAAAAAGAGCTGGTTTGACGTGCCTAAGACAAAATAAGCCTATGGGAAGCTACTGAAACACACACTTGGCAGTATGTGCTCATAGTGTACAATATTTTTAAACAGGTGAAGGTTGTACACGTAGTGGGAAGATGCCCTTATTAAAAAAGAGATGGATTGAAGTGTTTAAGGCAAAATATGACGCTATTGAAAACAAAATATACCTTCTCAGCTCATGATTATAAGCTAAAACCGGTTGTGCATAGATGGCATCTAGTATGAACAGGAAGTTTGTTTAAATATACACAAAGCAAAAGGAGTACGGTTTACGTGAGAAAAGAAAGACACCGCAGCTATTTCAGACACAATGCATGCAATTTATAGACGGTCCCTAACACGAGGTAATCATTTCCCCTGCGGTGCCTGGTTCACACTGGGTCTTTCAAAGCAACTACGCTTAAATTCGTGAGCATGAAATGCCACCGCGGCACCAAGGAAGCTTCTGTAACGCAGAACAGCTCTGGTGACAATCAATAACGTCTCAAAAGTTGCTGAGCATGAGCCTCCTTGAATGTCTGACTACCTCATGTCAAATTATCCACACTACGGTGTGATGGCACGAGGAACCAGGTTTATGCAGGCCAGTACATGGCTAATGATTATCAGAGAATGAGTCAAATGTTGAGACGGTGTGCGCAGCGATATTCAGTAAACTGTGGGAAATTACAGTTTGGAGAACCTTAGCTGGTCTCAACTGTCCCCAAAACACCAAGTCAATTTTACATGATATAAGGTAGAAAGCACAGCACCGTAGCCTACTAGCGCCGAGTGCGGGATGGGGACATGTTAGTTTGTAACACAGTGCAGAAACAGCTCGTTTTTTAACGGGTTAGTTTTTAAACCTGACAGTCGAGCCAAGCATTACAACACTGTGTCACGTTATTACCATCTTCATGTGTTATCGCACTGTGCGCCATCATTTTGACAAAGAAAATCGTTAGCTTTCGGTCGCCGTCTGCTGATCACAGTGCTTTTGTGTATGTACTTCCGCATTCGGTGTTTGTCCCCCCCACTGACACTCGGCAACTTTCGAACAGGACGCCTAATAGACGTTTCGACTGTCGTTTTCTCTGTGTTTACGGGTGAGTTCATCGTGTTAATTCTATTCTGGAGCATATTATAGATAGCTTCAACTTATACGACTTTGCCTGGTAGATTTCAAGTCGTCGCGGACATTTGTTTTAATCGAGAGAAACGGCTTTCCCCCCTCCTCATAGCCCGAGCAACAGACGGTGGCGTTCACTTAGAGGAATGCTCGGCTGCGGCACGAATATCCCATCTGTATTAGAATAAAACGAGCTGATAACGATTTTGGTTAATGAGTGTAGCACTGGAGCAAAGTTTGGCTCTTTTATGCCACTTGAATTATGTGTCAGGGGCGCCGGAGGAGCAGTTATGTGGTTATAACAACTTCAGGTAGCAGAGTTGGACCCTGTGTATTTTCTGGCAAAGCCATCCAGGATTTTACGACTGGACGCGTTCAGGTCTTACCACAAACAACAAATCATTCTAATATTCGCAAAGGGAGTTATCCTGTGTTATTGGTAGTCAGTGGGGAGTTTATAGCTGGCGACCTTGTTGAATTTTATGTATTTTTATCTTCTTGCAGGAGTTTCTTTCAAAAATTTATAACAGGAGAGCAGTGGGTTTCTCACAAAGAAGACACAGGTATAGAAAATGAAGCTGTTTGGACAACTCCCTGCCTGTTGTGTCTGTCTATACCACTCACTCATCAGATCAGACCATATAGAGTTGGAGTTTGGGTGCGGACTGTGTTGATTAATTAGTATCTGCATATAATTGATTAGCCATGATGATTTTGCCTTATGAAACAGAGGACGTTGCCTTTGCAGAACAGGCTCAAATTTCCTGTGCTCACAGGAAACTGCAGTTACTGTATATCCAGTGCTGCCTGGTTATCTCGCTGCAGTCATTAGCTACAGATAGGAGGCTGGAACCATGTGGGTTATGTGTGCCTGTAAATTGTCACATTTTTGTTAATCACTCCTCAAAGATCAACTTTTTTTTCTAGGTTGCTAGGCCAGTTTGACTTGTTTGTGCTTCTGCGACTTTGTTGTTTTAGTATGAAAGTGTGAGCTCTGTGTAAGCAAATTTGTAATCCCAGTGAAGACTAATAACAGATTATTAGGTGGTGTGTTAAGGGCGTGTAGCTGGCACTTTTTGGAGGCTTGACATGCTCTTAGCCAGCCGCTGCTCCCCAGAGGCCCCTTGTCGGGCAGGCCCTGCAACTTCCTGTTATACTCTACCAGACAAGAGGAGGACTGCACTTGTCATCTCTCTTTCTCTCTCTTCACACTTTTTACAAGTGCGGGCTTGTCTGGAGCCCAAAGTCGACCTTCTCTTCCTTTTAAAGGAATGTTCGCTATTTAATTTGAATTGCTGTGCTGCTTTCTCCTTCTCTGTCTCTCACTCACTTTATTGTTATAGGCCTACGTAAACTCACCCACATCCACCGTGGGTAGGAAGGTGAACTCTTGCAGCACTACAGTGAGGTGTAATAGTTGTTGGTCTCTATGAGAGATACCCAGCAACTGGAATTACAGGTAATGGCACCCATAGTGGAACAGCCAGGGGGTGTCCTAAGGGCCTGAAGCTGTTTTGAAGGCCATCTAATAAATTACTGTAGTCAGGTTCAGACTTCAAAGGCAGCACAGGTATTCTTCTGTGTCTTCAGAGAGATTGACGCGCAGGCAGCAGATAATGAGAGACAGAGTGGACTGGGCTTTCTTTCTTTGCTCCACGGGTCGGCAGTGAAATCGTCTGATTCCTCCTGAATGAGCTAAGTGGGTGAGGTGGGGTGGACCGAAGTTACCAAAGTGTGGGTGGGTGGGTGTGCATGGACAGGTGGCTACGCCTGTGACACCTCAGGCTCTATGGGCATTAGTCACTGATTTATGATGTTTTATAGACCACATGAATAATTGAGAAAATAATGAGCAGATTAATAAATAATTCCAATAATTTCTTAGCACTCGTATGTAGTGTGGATGGACAATAGACTATTTTGTTACAGTGTGGTTGGTTGTCCTTGGACAGGTAATGTTGTAAATCAGTGTGATGATGTGCACTGAATTGTCCCGTATTGATACCTGCATTAGTTATTCTATCAATAAATGGGTTTTCAGTTAAGTTATTGGAGAATGCTCTGTTTCACAATGTTTTATGCAAGTTCATGAAGCTATACTGAACAGAAGCTTCTTTTGCATGAGAGGTAACACAAGGTAACTGTTGTCCTTTTCACCAAAGACGTTTTGACATGCTACATTTAGCTTCATCAGTTTCAGGGTCCTGGTGTTGTGTTAGGCTTGTTTTATGGTTCAACGCTGAATCTATGCCATAGGTACGATGTAGCGTGTCCCCATTGGTCACATCACATTTTCTCATTCATGCATTTCCATTGTCAGTTTACTCCGTGGGAAGCTTTAAGTCGCCAACTGGACACCTACTGATTATTATTATCAGTGACGGGTGTCACGTCACATGACTCTAGTTTTCACATCTGTAAAAGGTGACAAATTGCATTATGGGATGGTTGGGAGAAAGTAGTGCTGTCAACACTTTTCTCATTGTATTGTCAGAATTTTTGAGGGCATTGTCTAATGCATATGTGGACAGTAAACTAGAATGATCAGTTAATATTGTACACTGTAATAAACAGGGAGTGATTTCAGCTTGATAAAATTCAGATTGCTCATTACTAGGATGTAAGGGTGTAATAGTATAAAGGGTAACTTCAGTAATACAGTGGTGCACTTTCACAAAGTTGGAAGGCTCGTGAGAAACGGATTAAAATGGAGTGGTCAAAATCTAAGCGGTAGAAGCCGAGATATCCTGCCTTTTAGTCCGTAATAATGTGTCAAGCTCCAAAAATGTTGCATCCTACAGTTCCCATAAAAATGTCTTTCCTGTCTAGTAAATGTCCACATCTTTGAAAAATCATACCCAGGTTTTCTGTTATAAATGTGTCGTCTCCATCCCGGGATGAGACAGCCCCGATGACATCAGCAGGGTTGTTTTCTCAGACCTTAGGAAGCTCCCCCCAGAGCCACACACAACATAAAACACCCTTTTTTGTACAGGCTGAATAGTATGCCTTCATAATAAGTAAACTGATCTCTTTGTGTATAATTGGTGGAATTCCCCTTTAAAAATGTAACATAATATGATTGTAGCAGCCCAGAATCCCACAACTCTGATTTGTGCCAACTTGTTCTGGCCTTTCACTGCGCTGACACCGTGTTGTAATGTAGACAAAACATTGATTATTGTTCTCATAAGTTCATTTCTGACTGTTAATTTGGATCTAAAACACGAGTGCTGCTGTCGAGTTGCCATACGGTATCAGCTCTTTCAAAGGACCATGATCTGTAAATTAATCCAGCTCACGAGTATTTCATTGTAACAGAGCCACCTGGATCCACCTGCCCAGCTCTGTCATCTCTCTGCTGTTACTGAGGCTCCCTTCTGCAGTGTGTGTGTGTGTGTGGGTGTGTGTGTGTGAGAGAGAGAGACATGAGTCTTGTGGGCAGCAGTGACATCCCTCCACAACTCACCAGAATAAATGCAGCTGATCTCCATGCGATTGTGTGTGTGTGTGCTCTCACACTTTAATGCTCAAGTGTAACCTGGGCTGCAGCAGCTAGTTTCACACACTCTGGAAAAAAGAAAATGGAATGAGTGCGAGCCAGAGGAACGGCTGCTGTGTGTGATGGAGAGAGGGAGAGGAAACGGAGAATGAGCTCTTTCATTTGAGAGCCAGGGTGGAAAAAGTGAGACTAGACTCCATAGATTGTGTTTACTCTTGAGGAGTGAGAGCCTGGGGGTTTAAAGTTTCAATGTGTGCGTTGACTGTATGTTAGCGCTCAGGCCTTTGACACAAAAAAAGGAACTTTAGGTACGTGTTGTAACACTATAGATGTATGATCAGAGTTGCCATTTTCTTTTTGAATAAGATGTAATATTTTCCTTTAATTAAATGCAGTGCCATGTTGTGTCTTCTAGTAAAGTTTATTTATTATTTTATGGCAACTGTGATGCTATTTTTTTAGACATAAATGCCCCATATTTGTTGGCCACAGCTTTGCAGATATCCTGATTCTTTTTTTTTTTTCTTGAAAAAAAAAAAAAATTAGAAAACCTTTTTGTCATGAACCAAATGAAAGACAGATTAATGGGTAATGAAAATTATCTTTAGTTGTAGACCTAGTGTGTTTATTGAAGGATATAACACTTTACCTTTACTTGTCAACTCAGTTTTATTCATAAAGCCCCCAGTCAGTCACTCATCTGGCCTATACACAACATGCAGCACCCTGTATTCTTTGACCTTTGCTTCAGATAAGGCAGGATAATCTTGGGATGTGCACTGATGTAGTCAACGTGTCTTGTTGTAAAAATAATCTGAATACCTCTTCCAATAGAGCCTTATTTTAAAGTAGTCCTCTCCTGATACCGAGGCAGATCATTTTTGTCAGTCAAGTAATTATTAATTGATTAATTGTTCCACCTCCTAAGTGCATCAGTGTATTAAACATACACACTTAACACTATGAACCTTTTAGCCTTCAGGCTGTTTGCAGGTCTTGGGGAGTACTAGTGTGTACAGCGCCTGTAAAAAGAATTCACCCCCTTGGAGGTTTTACCATTTTTATTGATTTTTTAATCAATCATGGTCAGTATAATTTGGTTTTTTGACAAAACAAATGACAAAAAAACCTCTTTAATGTCAAAGTGAAAACGGGTTTCTACAAAGTAATGTAAGTTAAATAAAAATATGTAATGGGAAATAAGTGACTGCATAAATATTCACCCCCTTCAATATTTAGTAGATGCACCTTTGGCTGCAACCACAGCACTGGGTCTGGGTGGATAGGTCTCAGACAGGCTTGCAGATCTGGATACTGCAATTTTACTCTATTCTTTTTTGTAAAACTGCTCAAGCTCTGCCAGGTTGATCGGGATTGGGTGTGAACAGCCCTTTTCAAGTCTAGCCACAAATTCTCTATTGGATTGAGGGCTGGGCTTTGACTCGGCCGACCCAGCCCTTCTGTGTAGCTTTCGC